TCTCTCCGGTTTCAGTAACAGAGTACAGCCAAACCAGCATGATGCAGAAGAAGGGGGGGGGGAAAGTGTATGTGTTTGTGTGTGTGTGTGTGTGTCGTGTGTGTGTGTGTAGCGGGGGGTAATAAAAAGAGGACAGAGCAGGAAGACGGATAATAAAAGCGGTATGGGGGTCAATGCTTCTGTGTTTGTGAAGCAGCAAATAAAAAAAAAAACAAACAAAGAGAAGAAAAACAGCTTTTCACTTGGGCCAACAGATACCCAGAGCACACACAGAGTGAATTTATCAGGCACAGACTGCAGTCATTTTCAGACCAATTCAATAAAACAATGTTGCATAATATATAATCACTTTATAATCTCTTTGTTGTTCAAAGGTGGCCTAAATACTTTGAATGAGTGYGGTAAGTCACTATGGGAGTGTCATCATTATCACAATATGCATTGGTTCARAGAGACCCAAATAGTATTTTTTTTCAAAAACTGATTTAATTCAAGGTCTGTTTGAAAACAAAATCAAATAATTGTTCAGTGTACCTTGCAGGAATTCATATCACCACTTCCATCCATGCCAGAATTTTAAATAAAAGCCATTTTATGATAAAAAAAAAAGAAAGCGTTATGGCCATTTTGGTCAGTTATGTGAAACGTAATGTGATGCTGTGAAATGCATTAGCCATCAGAGTAATAGAAATGGAGGGGACTATCTATCAAATTTGGCAAAATATCTGTGAATACAACTAAGTCAAAGTATTTTAGTGTTGGTTGATTTAATGCCAAAATTTAAAGCAAAAAAAGGTTTTGCACTCAATGGTTTGTGAATGACTTGCTACTGTCACACTAATTTTGGTTCAATTTCTRCAAAATAATTATTAAATCAGTTATAGACATTTTTCTTTAGCTTATGTCAAATTCATCTGGCCATTTTAAGTAGAGTTGACTAATGCTATACATCCAGTGGTTCCTTTCTGAATGTTACATTGAAAAAATACTTTTATTTTCTCCCCCTTTTTTAGCAGAGTAATTCCTATTCTTGACACTTTTCATGATGTCAATTGCTATACAGGGTGACAAGTTAAATCCGCGGGTTGTTAATTGAATAGAATTTCCTCCTAATAAGACACTGTTTGGAACCCAGCAGCTTGTAAATGAATGGGGAACAGGAGATTAATAAATGTCAAGCAGCTCCACATGATTACAGTGATGAGCACAGATAGATGGATCACAACGCACAGTTTCACCCAGGTGTTTGCATCCTCRGTGGAATAAATTACCTAACAAATTTCAATGTAATCAGCAAAGAATAAAAAACAATAAAACATGCTGATAGAACAGATTATGGTCATGTATCGCAAAACAAGTCTTCCCACATAAACAACAAAACTGGAGCTTACTTGAACTTGTTTTCTGCATCTCATATGTATTTGTCATATATTGTATTGCATTTATTTTATTCTGCCTTGACTGTTGGAATATGACAAGTAAATTCAAATGGTGCTGCTAAGGCTAYGTTCACACTGCAGGCAAATCCRACCCAAATCCGATTTTTTTGACCCRTCTGACTCATTTCCGATTTTTTTATGACAGTCTGAACGAGACAAATCCGATTTTTTCAAATCCGACCCAGGCCGTTTCAGTATGTGGTTTTAAATCGGATATATGTCTGATGTTTTCAAAGTGACTGCCGTTTTTCATCAGGGAGGAGGGGATGAAGGATCGATAAGACACTAACCTCAAGTCTCACTGTTTAAATCTGTAGCTCCGTGTGTTTACAGCTCCAAAACACAAGTCCAGTTGCTTCATCTTTTTACTTTTCATTAGTATGATAATAACGATGTCCAGCCTGGGTCGCGGAGAGTATCGATCCTAAAGTTAGCTACTCGGTCGATACTTTTTTTCCAGCTCGTAGTTTCGTTCCAAAAAAAAGCTTCACTGGAGCATCCCGGTCAGAGGCAGGTTCAGATATAAACACTGAACTAAAGAAGCAGGTCAGATAATTATTTAATCGGCTCTGATTAAACAACAACTTCCAATACGATGCGCAAAATGTAGCATCCATGCTAGCTCTGTAAACAAACAAGACGGCTGATGAGACGTCACGTCTTTTACTGCGCATGTGTGTCACATCAGTRCTGTGGAGCGTTCACACAGGGGTCTGATGCAGGTCACATTTAAAATGTAATGTGAACGTTCACACAAAAAGATCAGATTTTTTCTAAAAATCGGAACTGAGCATTAAGACCTGCGGTGTGAACGTAGCCTTAGATGCATTTGTGTCGGTCTTTAATTAGGACTACTGCAGACACACTAAGCATCTACGTAATGCATCAAACATCACACACACATAGCATATTTTAATGTATTTAGGTTTTGGCTTGAATTACAAAAAGGATTCTCCCTAAAATACCTTCAGCCTGCCTTGTTCTCCTGTTGTGTTCACTCTGGAGTAAGTAACATCCATRACAAACATGAAGCTTTGTGCTACTGCTGCTTTCCACAGTATCCCACTCAGCAGCCACTTTAAATCAGTCGTTCTCAGCCCGTATTTAATCCCATTGCTCTGGGGACCTGGGTTCATTATCGAGCAGGTGGATACACAAGAGCCAAACCCATGTCAACCTTAAGTCTAAAAACCAGGCTGTGTACGTCTTTATCCTCCTGCCAAAGAAACGGTGCGATTCATCATTACTTAGCCAGCAGAGTAATGCCGTTTGCTGTCGAGTGACAAGTGTGGAGCTGGCTGCAGTCCAGTGCATCATACTGGATCCTATTAAAGTGTCCTGTGAACACTGAAGTGCAGCACTGGCACTGTCACGGCTGCACTCATACAACTGACATGTGACCTCTTTCTGCACAAATAGCTAAACAGCTGAATTAGGARCATGACCCTGTTTSCTTATAGTCCACCAGTGAAGTGCTCCAAAGAGCAAAGTGTCTTCAAGGCAAAAAAGTTAATTTATATGAGAGGGAATAACATTGATCATAAGTCCATCTGTAGGTCTAGTGTACGCTAAGACCTTTCAAATTAATGTTCCCTTGCAAACATATGGAACACATGCCTTTTTTAAATGAACTGTTGGAAATACCATCTGCTGCAAGAGACAAATAATTAAAAAAGTATAATACTGTGATCTGTTCTCACCTTCCTCATTGTTTGGATTTGACTGTTTTTTTACTCATGTATCTGTGCTAAATATTAATTTGCATTTTTCCAATATTATTTACGTATTTATGCTTTCTTCCTCACAAACTGTTTCAGTTTAAGTATGTTCTTTCGGGAACTGCTCACAGAACGAATTGAAACACAAACTAATACAAGACAAGAAACAGAAGTCCAAGTATAGATTCTCACTGGGGTGTGACAAGGTGGCCAACAGAATTTGCAAGATAAGTCTCCAGAACGTCTCGCAATGTTCATGAATGTTTTTAATTTTCTTGAGTCACAGAAGCACTGAATCCTGGAGCTTGATTTTTAAACACGTTCAAAAACTTTGTCCGACAAATTTTCTCTCAAATTAATCAGAGTTGGTRAGAAATTCTCCCATCCATCTGATGTTTGTTACCAGTGTCACAAACCAGTCTCAACAGTACTTAAGCTGTGTTTTTGACATGGGCATGGGAGCTCTTTTCTGACAGAAAACAACAAGCTAATGTTGAGGACTAAAAATCACATAAGTGATCAATATTTGTTGAAGAACTGGTCCAAATATGCAATGCAATTGTGCAAGCTGTCAAAGTGGGTGACGTGGGAAGAGATGGACAACAAAATAATGTGCACGGTCAAGAATACAGTTTTACAAGCACAAAATCCACAAAATTAGGCTGTGATTTTCAAAAACTGGCTGCTCAAATCAGTGTAGGGATGTGGATAATTTATTTTATCCTATTCCAATATTAAATCCAACAGCAGATTCAAAAAGAACTTTACAAACTGTACAAAATAACAYCAAAATCATGTGATGATCTCAAATATGAGGGAGGTTATTGATGTTTGTTCAGGTGAAATCAGCTCAGGTTTTCTTGCTGCAGTTCACAGCAGAACCAATGGGGCCTTTGTGACCATTTCACCTTCTCGTTTTCTATTTTTGCTCATAACTTCCTCAGTGTTCAAAATATCGCCATGAAATTTTAGGAAAAGATTCACATTCTGGTTTTTGTAGGAGCATCTTGTATCCTAAAAAACTAAGAAAACTTAATAATAGCCAATGCAAAGGTAACAGAAAATGTATAAAATATTACCAGGTAAACTGCAGCATCAAATCAACTCAATGTGTCTTAGAAAGGAAGGAAAATAAAACAATTTAAAAACAATGTGGACATTTATTTTGTAAACTAAGCTCCTCAACCAATGACAGTGTGTTAAATGTGTCAAATGACAAAGACGAGCGTCAACACACTTTACTAACAAGCACTATTCCGGATTTAAAAAAACGTACTTTGATGTTTCAAATCATTATCAAATTTGGAACAAGGGCAGATAAAATAATGTTCTTCATGGCAGCTTATTTCTTTAAGGGGTCACTAAAAAAACTTGGGTGATTTAATTTGATCCTATTTTTTTTTAAATGTCCCTTCAAAACGTATCAACTAAACTTAAAAACTTGGAAGACAAGGCTGTGCTAACTACCTGATGTCAGCACGCTTTGTTGAAATTCATAGAAATAACAAAGCAGGAGGAAATAACAAGCAAACGCACAGAGCAGCCTTGCAAGATCTGGTCACAGCAGTTTGGGAAGGAAATGGCAGCAGCTGCTGATGAAATGTCAACATCCCTAATCAGTGTTGCACCACCCACTGGTCATTTGGTCTCAAACATTTGGAATGCATTAAGACTAAAACCAATAGTTTTACTATTTTCTTACAATGTTCATTAACCAGTTAGTCTAATAGTCACAGCCCAGTTAAGTACTACCTTAACTGTTCTTGTGTGCCCATTTTGTTTCTTTTCAAGTGCTTTGTGGATTGAAGGGTTTTTTGTTTTTGTGCATTTAGCTTCCACTCACCTGAGTTTTCGTCAACCTTCTCCTCCACAGTGTGGTCCTTCTGATGAACCCACTCACTGTTGCACTTAAAGTAAATCTGTGTGGCAGGCGTTGCTTTGCAGTAGAGATTGACAGGCTTGTTCTTGACAATGTAGCCTTCCTCTGGTTCAAACAGGAAGTGAGGTAAGGGCTCTGGAGGGTCGGAAGGAAAGGTTTCTGGGAGTTCACTCAGGCTAAGGAAGTCATCATCATCCCTCACTGCGAAAAGAAAGAAATAAACGTTACTTTCATTTMAATTTTTCTAATATATTATTTTTATTTTAACACTGAGAACTGTCACCAACTTGCAATGTTTGATGATGTCACTCAGGGAAAAAAAATCCACTAAGCCATAAACTGTGACTTTAATCTTATTTTTAGCATTTCTTTTGTTTTATTGTGCGCCTTAAGTTTTTGAGCTAATAAAAATAAAACTCCACAGGGGAGAAATGCAATGTAAGTGAACAAAAGAAGAAGATACAGAAGAATTAAAACAACAGCTGAATCAGAAATGACTGACTGGGAGAAAACAAAAGTGCATTGATTTGGTCTGATTTTAGTCTGAAGTGATTTCCCCTTCACAAGTTCAAAACAACAAAATTATGCAGGAGTTGGTTCTGAAATCTGCAGTTCAATTAAAAAAAATCAACTTTCTGTTTTTGAGGTGGCTGATGTTCTTGCCTGACAGATTTCCAAAGGTTATCTTGCAGTTTAGGTATKTAGATGGTCTGATTTCCCTCATGACTGTTGTCAGGAGGTTTGTAAGAACCTGCAGTGTGATCATTTGAATATAAGTGAAGAGTACTTTACATGTTGGGCCTTAAAGTAAAGCCTAAAATGTTTCTSAACTGAGAAAAACTAAACCTCTCTTCCACTTTGTATTTATCCTAGTGATTGAAGAAAAGTCCAAAATTGCTTTTTTTTTTCTTTATCCCTTTTGTCAACAAAAAGCCAGTCTTATGTCAATAAATTTTAAAAGAATTGCCACTGAATGGTGCCAGCCGAGGGCTCTGTTTGCTTTCAGTGGGAAGACAAACAGTGGATCTTTTTAACTAATCTGTACACAGAAATTTGTCAGGCAAAAGCACTGGTGGTAGTTTTGGTTTACTGCATTTTATGTAGAGTACACAAAACTGCCTTTAAACATCTATACTCTGAAAGTTTTAAGTGAACGACAATGTACTGCATATAAACAAAGTTGAACTGAAAACATTTTTAAATGATTTGCCAGACCTAAGGTAATATGTGACCCATCATATCGAAATGATGATTAAGTCAAATTTGGTCAAAATGACCTACAGTAATTACATTTTCAGATTCCTGGCTTTGAAAGCTTCATTTTGACACCTGGATCATTCTGATATCATAAATGGATAAATGGCCTCAATTTGTCTTATTGGTTAAAATAACACAATAGTATTTGGGCTGGACCTTAATTTTATGTAACTTTTTTGAGTAAGTTTTCATTTCCTTCTGAAGAGGAAATCTCAAATAGTATTTAAATCTTGAGATTTCCAAGATGGAAAGAAAAAAATGTTGCTATCTCACAGGGAAAATCTCAAAATTTAAAGGCATTTTTTCCTCAAAATCAGTTTTTTTGTTGTTAGAGCTCAAAAAAGTGCTTCACAATTTTTTTTATAATTATATTTCAGACAGCTCATTCAAATGATACATTGATAAAGCTTTTATTTGTTATATTTTGACGAAATGAAATTTTTGTAAGTGTTCATATCAAAACAATATATTTGCCTATTTCTCCATATACCACTTTTTGACTTAATCATTGTTTCGATGTGATGGGTCACATACAGTATATTACCAAAACCTTTTGTATTCAAGTGCTAATATTTTAATAGACAAAGCCAACCCAGTCGGACACAGAGGCCTAATTCTTCTTCTCCTATACTACCTCCTGCTTTACCCCTCTGTCCACATCTCCACCGCCTCTTGACCCTCTTGCGACACTGACATTGTTTTAGCAACAGGTCGCCCAGTTCACCAAACCACATAGAATCACAAGAGCAGGTGTTATGTTGAGGTGGTGGTTTTTAATGCCTTACAGCCCATAGACCAAGACAAAGACACGAGCACGTGTTTGCAAGTCTAACCACCAAGTCACTCCCCTAACTAGTGTATCACCACTGTATTATCCAGCTTCATTAAGATTCTAGACGCTTCTGTAAAAGCTTCACCTGAAATGCTATGACACATGGGAAAATTTGAACAATTTTGTCAGGGCTTCATGCTTCTCCCACCACAACCACAGAACCTAATGTCATGATTGCACAAAGGATTTCGACCCATGAATGCCAACCAACACAAAGAGCTCAAAAACAAAACTTTATTACAAACTAAACAAATGGCTGTAGTAAAACTTACATAAACAGGACACATGGAGGGCGAAGAAGGAAACTGGAAATGCAGTAGGAATGCATTCTTCTCCACCGAATGCTTAAGTGAGCACAGTGAGGTAAAATGGGGCTAAGGCTGATGGGAATATGATRAACTGCTGAGCTAAACAAAACAGGTGAGAATGGGYGTGGCAGGTCTGGGGAGCAGGATCCAGACTGAGGAAAGCTGATCTGATGTCTCAGGGAAAAACAGAGACTCATCAGGTGAAATACACAAAAACAAACACAAGAACCACAACGAAGCTCAAAACAGAAAAAAAAATCAAACACTGACCAGGAAAACATTTATTCCAAATGGAAACTTATAACACACATGAACAACTAAAGAAAACTGTGCCCACACAATCACGCACGCATGTATACAAATTTACCACTCCTCTTCCTCAACTGTGCACGCTGCTATGTTTCTTATCTTGGAGGATAGCAGCRTGCCGTGGGCCGAAGCTAAAAGCAGCTTAGGTAAAACAACAAGTCGCAAATAGGAGAAAATAAATGGGTAGGCAGCATTTATACTTTGATGTCACAAAGCTGACATTTTCTCTCTTAGTTCTGTAATTAGTTCTCAAAGAGAATGAAAATTGCCAGACATTTTTTTACTGTATAATTTCATTATCTGAGGGAAATTCCTCACCACCTTCATCATGCATGTGGTTATTTATCCAGAGTCATGTTCAGCCATTTATCTGTCAGTCATGTTCTTGCTGCTCTGCCTCTTCTGTCACTTTCACCATTTGCCGCTTTTTTTTTTCAGAATTCCCCGCCCTCTGCTTTTACGCCTGTCCTGCTTTTCACTTTGCCCAGCACTCATTCTCACCCTCATCTGTCATTCAGGGAGGTGTGTGTGTGTGTGTGTGTGGAGGGGGGGGGGTGTAAGGTCTGGGTGGGTTCATTGCTCCGGAGCGACAGCTATAAATTATTGATTGGCACATGAAACATGATAGCCAGAGTATGGAAGTGTTGGGGGGGGGGGGGCAAGAATACATTTTCCTGTAAATAAAAGCTTCCCTTCAGACATGCCTACTGGTTCTTTCCCCCACACTCCATCAGCTTTGCTTCTCCAGCCTGTTCACACCAACTCCCACCCTCACTTCCTCTATATGATTTCGTTTTCCTCACTCTGWCCACCTTTTGTTTCAGCTCATTTTGACCCCACTCCGCTCCTCTCCTGACAGAATGACTTACTGCTCCTAACAGCCCAGCTCATAAACATCTTACCTGAATGCTGTCATTAGTAATGAATGACCGGAGCAGAACAATGCCCACGTTTGATTTACGATATGCTGTAAATATGTACTCAGAGTAAAAACACATTTAAAAGGAAACCCTCCACCACTCAGGCCTCTAACCATAGTGACATCTGAAAACTACTTTTAAAAGGTCTGAACATCAGCTGAGAATGGCATTATCACAAGTGACTAATTAGGTCCGAGTGTCACAAATCTTGTGCAGGTACAAAAAAACAATGAATCAATTATAGGAAAACAAAAATCAAAATGACTGAAATTTCCATAAACAAATTTTATTGGACAACCAATCAAAATATGGCATTAAATATCCTACAAGTACAATTTAAATTTCAATGCACTTTATTTTTAACCCCTCTAATCAATTGTTTCTGATAGAAAACCTCAATGGAAATCAAAACCTTTCAATAAATATGCAAGCATATATAGATAACATTGGATTTAAGTACTGGTATGTATTCAGTAGGAGTGTAAAAAATATCACTACATAAGGGGGGAGTGGGAGTTTGACAGTCATCTCTTTGGACAGCTTTGGCCAAGTGGTTAGGGGAGTCGTCCTCCAATGAGAGAGTTGGCTGTTTGATTCTCCTGCCATTCAGTCACATGTTGAAGTGTCCCTAGGTAAGATACTGAACCCCCACTGCCTCTGATGTGTGTCCCATCTGTGTAAGAATGTGATTCAAGCACTGACTGGTTTCTATTAAATGGTTTATCTAGATTAATTTTGTAGAAAGGTAGACTGCTGTGAGAATGGGTACATGAGGGCACAGATACTGTGAAGTGCTTTGAGTATCCTGGTTGGATAGAAAGGTGCTACATAAGTACAGTCCATTTACCATTGAACATGTACACTGGAATATCGCAATATGTTATTTCTTGATAATGTATTGATTTTAAATTAAGGTTTGTGTTCTATTTTAACCTCTGATCACTAGTTAGGAGCAGTCAGCCGGCCATTTGCCTCCTCCACTCCTGAGAAACCTGAGTGTTTAATGTTAGCTCAAACGTTAGCATTGTTAGTAGCCGGGATGTCCCATATTTTCAACCAAATTGAATGTGTCCCATAAGGGATGCTCTTTCGCCCGACTGCATTTTTTTTTTTATCAAGGTCTTTTTTAAATTATTTTTAACATAAACCACAAAAAAGAACAAACTGACAAAGACACACACACCCGAAATCCCTCCCCTCCTATACCGGATCTACTACCACAACATGAATCCATCTTGTATTCATACATCAGTCGATACAAGGCACAGGTTTGTGTACAAAGAACCAATATTTGACCTTTACACAAAGTTATCTGCTGAATTTTTTTCTACATAAGATATAAATGGCTGCCA